TTTTTATACTTTGTAAATGACAGATTCAACCCTTCTAGATTATGTATTGCGTCACATACCAAGCCGTTATTTTGGAATTGCCTGTGGTTCTTATGATCATTTAGAAAGCGTACGCAAATGATGAACACACTATTTCGATACGCATGCGTGCACTTACACATAAACTCTTCAGACATGTACTAATTGGTTAGAGAGTGTGTTAGCAGATTGTTTTCCCAATAAATATGTTATTAACACATGCATCCATTCTTTCAGGTAGTTACAAAGCACTTGCCAATCATTAATTAACTATTCTGTGTGAGCTCATCTAAAGTGAGCACCATCTATGCCTCGTAAAGCATTTATAGATGAGATTTAAAGACTGACAAAGCCTCGAGACTCCCACAAATCTGTTACCTTGACACAACGCAAAGAAATACAGAATGGTAGTTCCTTAATATTGATTTATATTTAAATTAACGATGATAAACGTGGCAAAAGAAAACCTCGTCAATGCCAACATTGAAACACACATAAAATATTTGATTAAAATATATAAAAACTTTCAAGCTCAAAAAAGAGAAAACATTTCAGTCTTAATTTAATGAAAAGGAAACTCAGAATTATTTGCGACAAATAAAATACATATACTATATATACATGCACACACCTATCTATATGTATACTCATGCATACTTTTGCGAAGCTCAACACATGAAAAATAATCTAAATTAAAATCTTGACGAAATTAAAAAAATATCTATGAAATTTCAATCAAATCTGTCAACAATTAATTTCATTTTCCCATGATCTTTCAAACACTGAAACGGTGTCAGTGTTCATCTATCCTTTTGCTTTTAGCGGAAGAAGCAACTTTCCCGGAAACCCTTGTAAGCTTTTTACTTTGTCTCCTATTTCTGGATAGCCCTGAATTAAAATGGCACACTAGTTGGCAAACTCACCGAATTTCACCTGACTGTTGTGGTTTGTAAGGAGTTGCTTATATTTGGTGGGCGCAGCAATGCACAGCTCAGCAATTGGAGCTGTGACAACAATCGTGTTCCCATCCACCTTAACACGCTTGAAAGCAGCAGACATGGTCCCTCCTCGATCTTTTTCACAGCACTTTTTTTTTTTTTGATACGACAGTCGCATTTGATCTCAGTCCGTTGTGCAAGTGCACCTAATGTTGTCTATCCAGTACATGCTTGTGTTGTGTGATAATTAAATGTGGTTCGAGGCAACATGACACATCTCTTTATTGAGCTGTTGTGTTTTTCCCTTTCTTAGTAAAAACGGAGAAGAAAAGAGCGACGGTGTTGGTCGTCACTTTGTGGATAAGGAGGACCCTCAATTTCAAGGCAACTCAAATGACCTGACCGCGGCTTCAGCTTCACTGCCTCAGGGGTAAACTTGACTCAAGGGCATCATCGTGCTCATTACTGAAAGCTCAACATGATTTTTATTTTTTGTTTTTTAGCGAAGCAGACGAGGAAGAGGTTATCAGCAGTGATGAGGACGTTCCCTTTCGAGACGATTTAAATGATCAGAGCTACGACCCCAAGGCGGAAGGATTTGTGTATGTGCCGCAATATGGTGCAAGTGCTGTAGTTACTGTTACAGGTGTGTATTGACTTTGTCCAGTAACATGCAGTCCCTCATTTGTTTCAGCGATGCACCCAAGCCAAAGCGCCGGATTCCTCCGAGACATAAGGACAAGAAAGAAAAAGAGAAAGCGCCCAAGAAGGAGGAGGTGCAAGAGATAAAAATGGAAGGCTCAGACAACTTACAGAACGCAGAGATGGAAGTGAAGCTTGAAGAAGAATCGGCGGATGACCCTGACGGGCCGAGGAAGTAAGATACAGACAAACTCGCTGATTAAACTGCATTCATTCTCGGAAATGTAAGTTCCAAAATTGGTTCTGCCTCTACAAAGGAGGGGTCGACGGAAAAAAGATGATAAGACGCCACGGCTGCCAAAAAGAAGGTATGGTGGGGCCATGAACAAGTTGGCACTTTCAAGGCATCCCCTCATGAGTTTGACTACGTACATATATATCGGTTAATACTGGCACTTCGTCTGGCCAGCCCTGATGACCCTGATGACATTTCCCATGCAGAAAGAAGCCCCCAGTGCAGTACGTCCGATGTGAAATTGAGGGATGTGGCACTGTCCTGGCTCATCCACGCTACCTGCAGGTAAATGCAATTAACTGTTGCTATGCTCGCATGGCCTGGAAAACCTGGAAAAGGATTGATGAAATTTCCAGTCGTGGAAAACACATGGAAAATGAGGGGAAAAAAGTAAAATGTCGTGGAAAAGCTCGAGTTGTCCTGGAAAATGATTTTTCTTCCCTCTTCTTTTCCCTGCCTTGTGGGTCAGTGCAAACAGCTCAAACAGACATGTCGGTCTGTTTTCAGCTCCCTTCGATGGGCAACATTGAATTGACCAACCAAATTGCATATAGGGCCAACGTTTCACTCACTATTTCATACTTGCTCCATTGGTTCGAAAGCACGAACAGAAAATACATGAATGAGGAAAAACTTCATTCAGCTCTATTAAAAGAGTGTATATGCGCACAGAGAGCAGGCCTCTGACTTTTCATGCAGTTTTTAGTTTGTGTTAAGCTTCTGCACCTCCCGATTTTTTGGTTCGCTGATTTCAGTTTATGACCTAGAAGTGTTTTCCATCCAAATATTTACTGTAATTCTGACTTGAACACTGCCTTATAGGTTAGTGGCGGTGACTATGGTTCATTGAGATTCATAAGACTGTACAGGTTATGTTGCTGCTGTAAGAACCCAATTCCTATCCCGATATTAGTGCAAATGCGGAGAACCTATTCAGCCTAACCTTTCACTTGTTTGTTTGCGATGTTCCACACACCAGCACCATATCAAATACCAGCACTTGCTCAAAAAGAAGTATGTGTGTCCTCATCCTTCTTGTGGGAGACTCTTCAGACTTCAAAAGCAGCTACTTCGTCATGCCAAACACCATACAGGTACCCGTTGAGCTGTAAAATGTACACCGTGTTGGTGATAGTTATTTGGGTCTTGCCATTCATGTTTCTTTGTTATTCTTAGACCAGAGAGACTACATCTGTGAGTTCTGTGCTCGTGCCTTCAAGAGTTCCCACAATCTGGCTGTCCATCGCATGATCCATACAGGAGAGAAGCCCCTCCAGTTAGTGCCTCCAGGATTTCCATAATTTGCACGGACGTAAATAACAGCACCGCATTCCTGAAATGTGTTAACTGGAACATGTTCTTGTGCTAATAGGTGTGAGATCTGTGGCTTCACCTGTCGCCAGAAGGCCTCCCTCAACTGGCACATGAAGAAGCACGACGCCGATGCGAGCTATCAGTTTTCCTGCTCCATTTGTGGCAAGAAGTTTGAGAAGAAAGACTGTGTGGTGGCCCATAAAGCCAAGAGTCACCCAGAGGTACTGATAGCCGAGGCACTCGCAGCCAACGCCGGTGCCCTCATCACGACCCCCGCGTCCATGCTGGAGCTGCCGGTCACCCCCGTGCAAGGAGAGGTGGGAGGTGGTAGCCTGGAAATAGTCCGAGGCGGCCAGGAGGGGCAGGTTCAGCCGCTGGGCCAGGAAGGACATGTCGGGTCTCAAGTGGCTCAGGTTGCACAGGGAGGTCATGTGGCCCCGCAAGTCAGTCACCAGGTGGTTCTCCTGGGACAAGAGCAACCACTCCACACCATGCAGGTGCCAGTAACAATTGCCCTTTCCCCTATCGACCCCCCATCGCCTGCCGACCACCACCAGCAGCAGCAGACGCAACTTCAGCTCCAGATGCCCGTCCAGTTTGTTCAACAGTCCCCGCAACTTGCCCTGCACTCCCCGTCGGTGGTGGCTCAGTCCCAACCCCAATCCCAGCTACAGTCTCTTCATCCTTACTCCTCCCAGCAACAGAGCCACGGGCAAATCGTACAAATGACCTTCCAGCCAGTCAGCCAGTCGCAGACTCCCATGCAACAAATCCCACTCCTCGCCACCTCTCAGCAGCTTACCACCCTGCAGACAACCACCTCTGGCCCCCCGCTATTGTCTCCATCCCAGCCACAGGAGGCCTCCAACAGGAACAATCCCGTGCTGGCAGCCTCCTCTCCACCAGCAAATTCCTTCCATCCAACGGAACGAGTGGGAGCGAGCGGGGTTGCCTGGGAGCAAATGGACCAAGGGGACGTCCTGTCCAACAACACTGCGGCGGACGTACAGCGGATCATCATTTGAAATGAGAAGGGTGCACACACCCTAAAGAAGCCACATGATGTCACCTACAACAATACTGTAATGCAAAGTTCAAAGGTTCATGTAGGATCACTCATTCATATTTGGTAGCTTATTTTAGAATAGCTTATCAGGGAATCATATGTGTGTGCGTAACTTTGTACATAGTATTCCTGTAAACGTCATTAGCTTTTTAAGGGAGTCTGCTGATTGATTGTTGTAACGCTTTTCCGACTAATAGGCACTATGAGGGCATAATTCTAAGTAATTGACGTCACAACATGTAATGTCCAGTATGCGTCCCCTCATATACGAGCTTGAAAATTGAAATCACACCCAAAATATACTGTAGAAATCCATAGCAACCGGACAGGTTAGAATAAGTGTTAATTAAGCCATGTGTTTATTAAGTATATATATATATTATATATATGATGGCTATTGACATTAGGACTGCCACTAACATGTTGTATTTGCGTTTTCAGTTAACAGCTGAATTGTTAGTGGATAAACATCTTGTTTTGTCAATAACAAAGTCTACTGTCGGGATTAAAAACAGATTGTCTATTTATATAATATGAAAAGAGGTTGTTCTTGTACTCAGTAACTGAACCCGTCGTTCCTTGTTCGTGGCTTTCAGCTTAATGATGACCTGTACAGATAATTGTTTGCAGTTTGGGCTTTCAGCAAAATGTGCTGCAAGCTTTGTTTGTTTGTTTGCTCTTGGAGCATATATGCCAACTCTTCATTTATAGGATGTAAATAAATGTCTTAACAACAAACTTATTGTTTATTGGTAGTCCAGATGAGATTTATGGGTAGATAGAAAGTCACTTTTTATCAGCCATCTTTACAGTGTCCCACCTAATGTTTACATCAGTACATATTGTGGCGTTCTTTGCTTCTCAGCATGTTGAACTGCTTCATGGCTTTCTTAGGAGGGATCAGTGTGTCGCTCACACCAACCCTGCGCTTCTTCATCAGCTGGCCTTCTGACTCATCTTTCTCGACCTCTTTCGGGGGCTTCCGGGAGGTGCCCGTGCGTGACCCAACTTCCCCCTCGTCACTCAAACTTGCATTAGAGTCATTGGGAGTAACTGTAGTCTGGAGATCACTGTCGTGTGCAAACTTGCACTTGATCCCAAATCTACATCTTCCACTTTTCCTGTAGGAGACGCAAATCCTCTTGCCTCCAATCTGAGAGGGTTTGGCATGCATTGTGAGGGGGACATGTTTCTGCAAGGCACTGAGTTTTTGCTCAGCCTGAGCTTTGAATGGGTTGGCGAACACGCTGCTTTCTGAGCAGCCATGCAGACTAGGAGGGGGCAGTTTGTGAGGGCTGGTTGTGGCGGAGGAAGACGTCAGACTGGACTGTTTTTTACTTGGATGTACTGACTTGTAAGATTCCAGGTGTCCGTGGTCAGATTCATCAGACTCACTGGTGGCAGAATCAGTCTCCAGCAAGAAGTTCCGGGTCTTCTTGTCCGGTGGAGCCCCATCAACGACATCCGTTCTCATGCTATTAATTTGGTCGAAAAAGGGTGCAGAGAAGAAAAGCCACAATAAATGAAGTGATCCACAATCAGACGTAATTAGAACGTTTGTCATTTGAAAGCAATCATCGGCTAGCCAACTGCCAAAACATATAAATTATACCATCCAAACATTGGTAATGGGTTACCTTACCCTCCACGATCACTGTTTACATTCTCGGAGTCTCCATCACCGTCGGACTCAGATGAGCCGCTGTACCCAACAAGAGCGTTCATGTCAAAACCAACGAGCTATATGTTAGAAAGAGCGCCAGCTACTAACATCTACTTCGATACATTTATTATTACAGAACCAAGCGGTAAATATCAAATCGATAAGGTATATACATATGTGATCGTCGCCATTTCCTCATTCAATCGGACATGCTACAATGTTAGCTGCTAATTCTTGTTCTACCGCTGTTTACAATGCAGGTGCCTTGGCTGACCTCTACAGTGCTTGGCTGGTATTTTTTCATGTCGCAACACCACAGAAAAACTACTGCACTGGGGGTCCTCGGTTTACGACGGAATTTTCCTTCGAATGTGGTGACTGACTGCTCGGATTTATACGTCAATCGGAACGTAGCGCACTTTACTGAGGCAGTAATGAAGTCATAACTAATGTAAATATATGCAAGAAAACCTACCAAGCGTGTCTTTGAAATGTGGGTACGTAGGCATGAGGAGAACATGCAAATTCCACACGGGAAGGTCCGGAATTTAACACATGACCACAGAACAATGTGAGACGGATGTGCTAACGTTTTTGTTATACTGTATTACATTTTTAGACCTTTAGAATCACCTAATTCTCTGCCGTCCAGGTCATTGTAACGCACCTAAATTGAGGTAACTGGACCTCTGGGAACCAAATAAATGAAGGCGTGAAATGTTTAACTGTGTATGGGAAACAAATAAAACATCAAGTTTCACTTTTTGAAAGGAAATTATTGAAATAGACTTTTTCTGTATTTATTTTTTGGGGCACCCACTTGCACAAACACGTTAATTGATATTCTGCGGTATATGTTAACGAGCATTATTGTTTTCGGCTACCACAATTTCTACCTGTGTTTTGTTATATCGAATATAACCAATAAACACGCTTAACAAGTAAAGACGCTTCTACCGGCAACACCAGACTTTTATTTGGACCGTTTGAACAGTCTTCGTCAGTCAGCAAAAAGTTTATAAATAACAGCTTTGTGGAGTGAGCTGCGTCTTCCCGTCCAGCTCCGCTCTCCGCCCCCGCTGATCGTTCCAAATTCCTCGGTGCTGGCATCAGGTTCCTGGGGGAATGGGCGGAGAGTCGGCCGTAAATCCTGCTGCAGAACGCGAAGTGACGGAGTCGGAAACGTGTTACTGCCCCCAAAACATACAAGGGGCTTTTTGAAGTTTCGCAAAGGCTGAAGTTAATTTAGGAATGACGATGAATTCGTTGCCGGGGTGATCCGGGCGTCATTCAGCCTTTCCTGGAAGTAGGATCGAGCCCTTGCTTCTACTGCAGCTTTCGGGAGGTCAGATGGCAGACCGGCGGAGTGGTGCGACCGGGGCGCCCGATCAAGGCAGGACGACGGCGGCCCGAGCGGCTGCTGTAGCCGAACTTTTGCTTCTGGAGATCTCCAATTTACTGGAACTTTATGTGAGTGGGAGAGAGACCTCACGTTTGCCACAAATCTACACGGTGTATGTGTGTGGTGTGTGAGAAAGAGAGACCGAGAGAGATTAACAGTTAAATGGAAAATTAACACATTTCTATGAGTGTTTGTTTGTGACATTTAACCTGCTTGTGTCTGTTGCCCAGAGCCAGCCCACGTCTCCATGAGACAAATTTGAGTTTGGAGCCCTGCATTTCTGACAGTAATACATATTACTGGCACTCATTGTTGAGGGACTACAATGACTAAAACAAATAAAAATACAAGAGCCAAAGAGACTTGATTGACAAAATATTTCAAATCATAAAGCCCGGAATGGGACACTGAACATCATTTAGGCCTAGACAAAATTTACTGTCATTTAGTGTCAATTGGCTAACCATAATAAAATCAATTAGAGATTTCAAAATAATTATACAAAAGCCTTGAATCTTGAGTTTTTGCTCAATACTACCACCCCCGCCCCCCAAATAATGAATGAATGAATAAGGATTCCTGGATCTGTTGACTGTTATTTGCACGTGTGGTCATATCCTAAGCAGATGCTTGGTTGACCCATGCCTTGGGGTTGCTCTGGTGTTGCCTCAGCAGTCTAAATGCTGGTAAAATCAATGAATCCTTACTATTTTACCAAACAAAGCTAGCACAGTGGTGAGTGGTCGGTGTGTCTACCTCAAAGTTCTAAGATTTGGGTTCAGATCCTCACTCTGGCCTTCCGGTATGAAGTTTGCATGCTCCCCCTATGTTCGTGTGAGTTTTCTTTGGGCTTCCTTACGCATTTAAAAAATGTTTGCATGTCCGGATCCGTGATTGACTGGCAACCAGTCTGTGATTTCCCTGTCTCTACCAAAGTCAGTTGAGATAGGCTCGAGGTCACCCGTGACCCTGATGAGGACAGGCCGTATAGGAAATTACAGGATGGCAACAGTTAGGTCAAGATCATTTAAATAACGATAATTTTCCCATTATATGACACCACAATCCATGTGAACTTAATTATTAATGTTATAAGGTTTCACAAAATATGGGAGGCATTGACTATTTATTTAGAGTACTTTAATTTACAGGCATTGCCCATTTTTTTTTCACACGAACAAACCATTGTTAAGGGCCTATGATAAGGGCATATTCCTATGCGAGTCATAGGGAATCGAATCTGTGGCCCTTTGGTCACAGGGCACATACACATAATGTAGGTGACTGCTGTACACAAATGTATTTGGGTGAGAGTCAGTTGGGGTTACCCAAATACGATTACAGACTTTATAATGTACAGTATTTCAGTATTTAAGTCAGTACATTTGTTGTTCATGATATTCACATATTTTGAGATGTACCTGCGAAGAGACAGTAATTAGTATAAACAGAACATTAGGGGCGGCTTGCTAAAAGGCATGTTCAGAAGTATTTGAGAGGTATACTGGCGCCCTCTTATGCAACCGGTCTCCATTTTAAAAATTTGGGTGAACCTAAACTGCCATACTTGAAGTGTAAGGAAATGGAAGGAACCATGAAAAGGACGCGTGTTATGTAGAGATAAGAGGGTTAAGTTGGGTTTTTTTTTCTTTTTTTGGGGGGCGGGGGGCTAAACCGGATATGAAGCATTCAGAGATGTGGGTTGGTGACCCCCACCCACTCCCCGCAAACGTTCACCAATGCCTGGGCGTGAAGCCTTCATCTACCATCCCCACATTCTTTTCCTTCTTAATTATCTCCTCTTTGGTTTCTCGCCAGTTCATTACCTCATCATCTCTACTCACGCAGCTGACTTGTAACTAAGGGAGCAGTTTGGCGCAAAACCTTGTTTGCTCTTCTTCAGATATGATCTGACCCTCATTCATTTGTTTTCTGCTCTTATCTTTGATACGGATACATTTTTAAAAGCAATCACAGAACTAGCTTAAATAGACAGATGACTGAAGTCAGGCATCTGCAAGCTCTGAAGAAGCATGAGAACTATCCTCATCATTTGAATCAGCTGTGTTGCAGCAGGGACAGATGGAAAACAGGCAGGACAGTGACCCTTGAGAACCAATTTTGGGCACCCCTGATTTAAGTGCAATGATGGAGACTGTTTCATAGCAAACCCAGATCCAGTGCAATACAAAGGGTCCTTGTTGGTTTATTACAACATTATTTTCCTATGGCGGTGACAATACATGAATTTGTAAACAAGTCCAAATGTGCCTTAGTTTTTCACTAACCTGCACGGGCACGCACACACACTCACATATTTCAAATTCAGATTTAATATTCTGCATTCCCTGGCAAGTGTTATGCATGCCACTTGAATAATACAGCTAAATGTTTAGCACTAACCCAGTCTATGCCGTAACATTTCTCAACTATGCTGCCACACGTGATTATTTTGCTATTCGACTAGTCACCGTTAGTAGTCGCGATTACTCAATTAATCGGATCACATGCATAGTAAATCGCCACATATCGCATCATCATTAGCTTACAGCCCAAATTCTTCTAAGGTACAAAATATGCATAAAATATAAGTAAAGACAACCAAGATGACAGTAGATTCAACCTTAATTAAACTTTGTAGGTTGTACCAGCAATCCTGACATCTTTATAAATGATGGTGCAACTTAAATTGAAGGTGATACAGTGGCCTTAAAATTTAGGCCTGTAAATGTTTCGTGATTTTTAAAAATGGGAGCAAAAAATACAAACTATGCTTGTCGCACGCCTTGCATTCTATGAAACTTTCTATAAATAGGACTTCACTATATTTCACTCTTCTCAGGCATGCGAACGCCACAACCAAACCCAGAAAACAGATGAGCTGTGACGGTCGTTAGCTCAACCCTTTGGCACTACGATGTCATTTTCCTTGACAGCAATTGGCAAAATGTCCGTCCCCCTTAGATGAAGGCGAGGCGAGGTAAACACTGGACTGGTCGCCCGCCAAACGGAAATGGCCATTCAAATTTATAGAGTGTATAGAGTACCGTTAGAACTGAATATAAAGCATTCATCATCCCTATCATTTTGTCTGTTTTGATTTTCACTTTGTTTGTATGCAATTGTTTCCTATAAAGAGCAAGCGGGAGACCTTCACTGCTGATGTCATAGCAGGGGACAGTCGTTTGGTGTCCGTACCTCCTCCATCCTCCCAGTTGGACACCCCGGACAAGCTATGGCGCTTGCACGCGGCCCTGCTCCAGTGCCGAGGCCTGATGGAGAGAGCCATCGCCAAAGAGGATGAGGAGATGGGCAGTGGGACGGGGGAGTACGAGACCCTGAGGAAAATGGTGAAGGAGAGGCTCTCGTTTCTCATAAACATGACTGGAGAACTTGTCAAAGCTGTAGACGGCCCGGCGGTGATGACGCCGAGTTTGAATGACAGCGTGGAGGTAGGCCCCGATGGTAACGCTGACACGGGATCAAGGGTCAGAGGTGACAAAGGTACTCATGCTGTACACTGAAAAAAGTTTTGAGTGACATTTAATTGAAAAAAACTCATAAATAATAATAATAACATTCAATTAAAATTACTTAAGAACTCTCCTTATAAAATTTACTTTGAATTTATGAGTGAAAAAAAATCTGAGTAGGTTTTTTTTTTTCCCATGTAACTACCATACCAATTTCTTTCAGTGTACATAAGTACAAGTATAGATACTTGTGTAAAAAATGTTTAGTAAAAACAGAAGTAGCTTCCTCATTGTTGAACTAAAAAGTACAGATCCTGAAATGGGCAAAAGTAAAAACTGTGTATCCATTGTTACTGTCTATTACAACAATACCCATTTTGATTACATGGCACAATGAGAAAAGGAACTTCTCTCCACACAAAACAGTTTCCCTTTGTTATTACGTGCTCAATCCCCCCCCAAATAATCACTGGACAGAGTTTTGCTGCAAGATCACTTCTGAGCAT